TGTAGCATGGTGTTGTAGAAAGTAACAGTTAATAGATGTGCTAAAATACGTTAACATTATACAGGCCTTAATGTACCAGTATTTTATCAATGAACCATATTGGTCTTCAGTTCTAACAAGAAGTCTTGATTCTTCTGTTATACTGTAAACTTACTGTACATTGCAGTACTTTAGCCATCAGACCACATTTCTGCACTCCTTCAATTCACTCTGACCTACACCAGGCTTTACCACAGCAGTTTGGTCTCATTCTCAGCTGTCCACTGTCCTTGCATCTCTGACTTCCACATTCCCTTCTTAATAACGGGAGATGTAAAGCACCTTGTGTCTCTTAAGTTGAATTTTCTTGACAGTTGTGGTTTCAGATGAAGTTGCTATTGTTAGTGCTGGTTCTTTACTGATGGTCACTTGAGGAGGTGTTGAATATCTGTCCCTGCCTCTGTATGTCCTTCTCTTGTCTTGCCCTTCTCCTTGCCTCCAGTGAAATAGTAAAGTAGTTACAGGTTGCTGTATTGCTGCATAGTCTCAGATCCTTGAACCTGCTACAGATGGAAAGAGCTGTTTGCCACCTGAGGCTCATTACTGCATGAACCCAAAATAAAGAAAAAGGTAGGATTGCGTTGCTGTACTGTATGGATTTGTTCCTATATGAAATATCTTATACACAAAATAAAAGGAACCAACTAAAGTTAAAAACAGTTTTCTAAATAATTTGAACTGTTGTTAGTAATTTTGACTAGTGAAACACATGCAATATGTAAAACACTTGATGCTTTAAAGGGTAAAAAAAAAGTCTGCTGCAACTCTGAAAGTAGAAGATTGTACACACTTTACAATATTTGACTTGTTCGAAAATATAATACCTGTTAAATATTTGGTTTGACTCAGAGAATCTGCAACGTTGCTTTTTTGACAACACTTGAAATAAAGCAGATGAGCCCTCAGTCAAAATGTCCTTAGGGTTTTATGTTTTACCTTTTTTCAGGTCAAAATCATCACAAACTTGTTTTGAGACGTTTGAAAAATCAGAATGTTGAGACGCTACCATCTCACAAGAAGTAAGTTGTTAAGAGGTTGGAGGTTATTGTTAATATGTTTATTTGAATTAGGCACAAAACTGTTTATCGTGATTCCTTAAATGTCTGTGTAATCCTTCATACTTCTTGAGGCATGATCTTGTCTAAACCTGAGGGTGAAACAGATTACGGTAACTTGGTCATCATCTTGCAACACAAAGTTTTAAACAGGCAAGTCAAATCCAGAAGAACCTAAACCTCACGTGTTTGTGGTCAAAGGCATCATCCATACATCATTTAGAGCTCGCCTGTCAAGGTTTAACTTTCCAATACAATATCAAAACTTAACATTTGTGTCCCTGTGCTGATGTAGAGTCTCAGTCACCCAAGAAATGGCATGCTTATTTTATATCAATTTTATTAGTTTAGATTTGTGTCCCTTGAATGGTCTGTTCACACTTTTTAATCAAACTTTTTACAAGTCTTTTTTTTTTCCAGAAACTTTGCATAAACTCCTGCACTCATCAGTTATAGCCTACATTTATTATTAACCATGGTAGAGCAGGAGTCCTATTGTCCTATAATGTGTCACTATAGGTTTAATTTTTTACATTATAGTAACATTTGATCAGTTATTTCAATATATATATACA